TTGCATTGGTCAAGTAAGAATTCATCATGGAGAATAAGGAGAAAATTGAGATGTTATGCAATTTTTTAAGAGGGATATCCGAAGAAGTATTGGAAGACAGCTTCATTAAAGGGTTGAAGCCAAAGATTCGAGCATCACTACGCTTGGTGAGATCAGGAGGATTGAGGATAAAAGTGTAGTGAAATAGGTTATTAAGAGTAGGTGGAGCATCATACCGAACTATTACAACCATAACGTTACAAAAAGCTCAAAGAATGGAAGTCCAGATGGAGGCTCTACAGGACAAGAATTAAGGGCAATGACCGGGGGCGACACTGAAACGCCTTACATAGAAAGAGATTGTCAATTTATTATATTTTCAGCACGATGAGAAATTTTCCCTAAGGCACCATTGCAAATATCATATATTACAAATTCTCATAATGTGTTACGATGAGGCAGGGGATGCAGAAGCAAAGAAGGTTGTGATGATGGAGGAGGAATACCCTCACTTAGATGTGGTAGAAGTCTTACTGAATTTGGTGGTGGGATTTACACCAAACCACATTATGAAACTTGAGGGGCAAATCAAAGAATAGGACATAATTGTGCTGACAGATAATGGGGCTACCCACAACTTCTTCTCTACTCAAATATTGAAGCAATTAGGGCTTTGAGATGGTGGATATATGAGAGTTATGATGGGGACGAGATAAATGGAGAAGAGCAAGGGAGTTTGTAAATGAGTTATTTTTAACATTTACAGATATTCAGGTGATGAAAGATTTTCTTCTCTTGGATTTAATGAGCATTGGCGTGATATTGGGTATAAAATAATTGTGATCCGTAAGAGAGACTAAAGGCCTGTTTGGGGCAGCTTATAAGTGTGGGGGTGTTTTTGAAAACATCGCGATACTGTTTGGATCGCGCGTTTTGCTCGTTTTTCTGAAAATGCGGTTCCATTTTTACACTAAATGCAGGCCAAGGGTCGAACCCCTTGGTCGACCCTTGAGCCGCGTTTCAGGATAAGTTGTTATCCTGAAACACACAAATTGCCCCAAATGCAACCCTAAGATGAATTGAAAACATTTGACCACAGAGTTTTTGGAGGGAGAGAAGATAGTGGCAATTCACGGTGACCCTAGTTTGTGCAAGGCCCTAGTGTCAGTGCATTCATCGAAGGTGGCAAATAGGTTGAAGGGGCCACTATTTAAGACTTGGAAGAGGTTGAGAAGCTTTGTGAGATTTACAAGGTACTACTGGAAGTTTGTGTAGGGTTATAATTCGATTGTGTGTCTGTGGACAAGAAATTGAAGAAGGATAACTTTAGTGGGGAAAAGTGACACCTAGACTTCCGAGAAATTGAAGAAGGCCATGAAGAGTGTGTCAGTGTTGATGGCGAGAATCAGACTTTAGTTAATAAGCTGGAGCCACATGACTTGACAGTGTCTTTTTGGGAGGGGAATATTGTTATGCAGGTGTATAGCCTAAGGGCAATTTTGTCTTTTATTAGCTTAAATGATGATATTGCTCATTTTGTAGTTCTTGTAGAATATTGTTTAATATTCACTTTAGTTCTCTTAGCAATTTTTGCATTTAATTGGATTGACACAATTTCTATTTATTGAATGTGTTAGTAAACAAGGGTGTATTGTACTACTTTTATAAATGAAAATAAAAATGACAAAAGAGAAATGAGATATCTAACTGCAAAATATTAGTCTCCAACTGTATGTTCTTTGTCTAATATGTTTCTGACTTTTTTCTTAGCATCTAAATCCTAAGCAATTTTGTTATTTTTTTTTAATCTCATTGTAATTCAAAACTAGCGAGTTTAGCTGTTTAAACTCTGTATGAACTCAACTTAGTTCTTGAATTTACAGTAAATATTCTTTGAACTAACCCATCTCTAGTTCTCAACGCATTAATGGGACCTCCAGTCTTCATCATTAATCACCTATACCTTCAAATTTGCCTTCAAACCGATCTCGTAGGATAATTTTGTTGGATGATTGGGAAATGTTACCTTCCAAACTTCATCATTAATCATTTGTTGGCCAAAGACACATAGATCTCACCTATACCTTCATATTTGCACAAGTAGCACTCAAATCTTTAATATCACAGATATCACTATTGTCAGTTTTAAAAAAGAATTACATCTTTTCATGCATAAAGCACCAAAATGCTATTTTTGTATATATGAAAGTTAGGTGTGACATATGTAAATACATAAGAACTATGTGCTACTATGTAAATTTCCCAAAAAAAAAAAAAAAAAAAAACTTCCATACCCGGAGTGGATGACTGAGGTAGAAGGCATGGTAGCTGGCTTTGAAAGTTGAGGAGGTAATGACCTTTCCTCACTATCTAGGAGAATAGGGCATTCAACTAAGATATTGATTAAAGGTCTGTTTGGAGCGGTTGTGGCTTTTTAAAAGGGACTGATTAAATTTAGTGGGGAAAATTATTTTTTAGAAAATTATGATTGGAAGCACAATATTCTTTTTTTTAAAAAAAAACTCATACAACAATTATAATTTAGCCGATCTGGTTGCAAAAATAATGTCTCGTCACAAAAATTTCTAAAAAACAGTAAGAACTCAGTTCTGCAAGTAGAATTATGATGATGGTATGAAATACAACTCAAGCAAAAAGCTATCCTAAATAGAGTTGTGCAGTACATGCATGTGAGGGGAGATAGCATGTTGAATTTGAATTTGGTCAATTCTAGTACTTGAAAATTTTGCAGTGCTTTTATGTTAAATCATACTAAGCACCAAGAAAATGCAAAGTTTTTGTAATTTTTTCTTACTTTCCACTCTTAATACTGTAAACCAACATTCGCTCAAGTCCCACCGCATTTTCAATCACTTCGTTTCAGAAATAGCTTAATCTTTTGATTCTTCCTTTGCTGAACGTGTCATTGAACTGTGATTTTCTATTTCGTAGCTTAATCCTGTATTTCATTTTATATGCATTTCACTTTTTATATTTAATCATCACCTTTTTTTTTATGCAGCTCGAGTTAGTATGAAGTGGTCTATGCTGAAGTACAGTACTAACATTAACTGAGACAGTAAGCGTTTACTTTCTAGTGTTCGTTAACATGTACATAGTCAACTATCCTATGACTGTAGAAAAAATAGTAAAACATGGCATGTGTCTCTATTAATAATTTTCAGTTCCTGAATCTGTCAAGTTGGTTTGGGTGTTTCAGTTGAATGAAAGCATCAGATCTGCATGATTGCTGACTTGATTGGTTGATTTATCTCATGCGTTAGGGTATTAAATTTATGGTTGTCTGATGAAAATTAATATTTTAGAATTATATAAAAAATTTTACATACAAAAATAAGCTGAGATCAGTATAAAAAAAGGAAGATTTACATACATACCACTCAATTCCTATGTATTTACATATCTAACACCTAAACTTCAATTTTACACATGTAAGCTTGAAAGGCCGTATTTAATTTTTTTTTTTTTAAAAAAAAGGTAAAATGGTGGCATTTATGGTATGATATGAAAGATTTGGGTCTTATAAATGTAAAAATTAAAGTTTAGGTTTGAGGTATATAAATACATAAGAATGTGTAAATGCCCAATATAAAAAAAATATAAGAAATGGAGAGCAGGGCTGTCAAAACGGCCTGTTGTTAGCGAACAGCTCGTGCTCTGTTCATTCGCTAAATTAACGAACCGAACACGAATTAAGATTTGTTCATTCATGTTCGGCTCGTTTTAGCTCGAAATATTACTAATCAATTATATATATATATATATTTGATGAGTAGTATTTTAAAAAAAAATTAATTGACTACAAGACTATAAAGATTTATAATCAATTAAAAGTATTAATTAAGAAAATAGAATAAAAATTATTAAATTAGATTCAAAATGATGTTTTAATATAAACAAAAATTTTTAAATCTTGACCCAATCATTAAAATCTTATGGTCATGTGATTAGGGTTTGTCAAAACGATTCTTTGTTCGTGAACAGTTTGTATTCGACTCGCTAAGCAAACAAGCCGGACACGAACACATTTGTTGAGCTCGAAATATAAATAAGCCGAACACGAGCCCCTAACAGAGAGTGAGAAATTGTAGTTAGTTTTTTGAGATGGGTCTGTTAGTGTAACTTAAAGTTTCTTATAACCTGAGAAATGGTTTGTATAATATAAAGAATTTACATTGTGGGAGATGTTTTATTGTAGTGATAGCAGGGATATCAAATGATTGGAAAGATAGGTACTGGTGGCTAAGGATCATCAAACGTTGTTTGTGGGTAATAATTAATGTACATGTTTCGGTAGTTCAAAAAAGTTCTTTTAAAAGACATGGCAGTTTGTGTACACCAACAACATTGACCAAATGACATGGGAGTTGTATGTCCCCTCCCAAAGGAGCCATTGTGGGTGGTGGGCAACCCATGACTTAAATACTATTTTTCGGCTCTACACCTAGCCGATGTGGGACTATTTGTCCGTGACATTCTCCTCCACCCAATCACGTGACGCCCTCGTCACGGATCGACTCCACCGAGAGGTCCCACTGGACCATGGAGAGTCCACACACCTGACAGACAGTAATCTGCTTTGATACCATTTTTCACCTCCCAAAAGTGCCCTTGTGGGTGGTGGGCAGCCCAGGCTTAAATATTGCTTTTCGGCCCTACATCAAGCCAATGTGGGACTATTTGTCCGTGACATGTAGCAGCCATTATTAAAAAGAAGATTTACATATATGTACCATTTAATTATTGTGTATCTACATTTCTAACACCCAAATTATAATTATTACATATTTATCACCTTTAGTTATACATGAAAATGTCTATTTTACGTTATAAATAATTAAAATAGTAGCATTTGTAATGTGATATGAAATATTTGGGTGGTATAAATTTAGAAGATAAACTTTTGGTGCTAGACGTATGTAAATATATAGGAATTGGATGGGATAAATGTAAATGACCCTCCAAAATATCTAAAAAGCCAATTTTTGCGATTGCTTATAGTATTTACTTTGTCTTATTGATAAAAGCCTATTTCTTTGATATTATTTATTTTAAATTATTATTTTTTTCAATATCTGGCTTTCTAACCCTAACACCAAAATTATGTCTGCTTCTATAGCCATGGCCATGTCTTCTGGTCCAAGTCGTAGCCGCGTTCCACGCAATACATTGGGTTGGCTGTTGCTTATTTTATAAACCGGCTATTTGCTATATTTTGGCTCCTTACTCTTTTCATTTTATTGATTGTTTTGTTGTGTTTATAAGCGGCATTGGCTTAAACAACAAATGAGTTTATGTCGGCGGAAGTTTTTGGGAAATCCTTCATATTTGTACTAAGAAATATGATATTATTTATAAAAAAATGATATTTTCAGGAAAATTGATCATAACAAAAAGACAATATACAAGTCTTTTAATTTATTAGAAATTGTACGATAAATATTATTATTTTGAAAAGTAAAGGAATAAGCAAGGTATGATTTGGTCTCTTTCTACATACGCATTGACCACATGATATGGTATTACTTTAATGCGGTTATTTTTTTTTAAATTTCGTAAGATTGGCCAGATGTTATTGGATGAACCTCTCGACTAACTTCATGAGCCTAAGAATTTTATTCCGCACAAAGGCGGGATAGAACTGATTACCCCAGGGTCACCCTATTAACAAAAGAGTCACGGTAGGCAACATAAAGTCTAGTGTTGTTATATATATATATATATATATATATATATGTGTGTGTGTGTGTGTGTGTGTGTGTG